CACACACGCGAAAGAAATATAACTATATAGATGGCAGGATATAACACGAGTACGTATATTTTTTATTTACATAGCTCTGGAATTAAGAAAAAATTAATATTTACTTGTAAACATTCTGTTTCTAGATCAATTGATAGTAGATAAGAAAGCTGCTTGTTTTTTTTACGGTCATATCTTTATTTAAATTTTCAATTTCTGTTTTTGTTTCATCTGAAAATCGTTCATACTAACAATCGAGACAAATAAAAAGAAGAAATTATATTTGTAAAATCTTTTTTACTTTTTTAATACTTTCTTCTAATTTTTGTAATTGTAATTCAAGTTGATGAATAATTTCATCATTTTCATTAATTGTTGTTTTTAATGTTTCTAATTCTTCTATATGATCAATATTACGTTTTGGATTTTCATCAAAACCATTTGATTGTTGTTCAACAATATTTGTATGCATAAAACGTGATTGTGTTAATAATAAATCATCATTTTTCTTTTTTTATATCACCACAATTTGTATATTCATAATTCACATCTATTGTATCACCTTGTTCAATTTGTTGACAAATATCTTTCGAAAGTTTATGTGTAATTAATCAAGCTGGTATCTAAATAATTATAAAAATGAAATTTTCATTTGAGAAAAAGTGAACAATACCAAATAACTGGCTTCACGTTGTTTTTCTAACCAACAAGAAACTTGATTTTCATATATTAATGAATCAGATAAATTTTTCAAATCAACTCGTTCAAAACATATGAACTTGAATCTTAGTTCAAAGAAGAATAAAACGAGATAAAAAATTCGTACTGGCTGATAATTTATTTTTTCCATTAATTGGAGAAATATGAAAACGTGATACTTGACAACAATTTGTTGGTGTAAAACCCTAATTTTACAAAGATAAAAATGTAAGATGAAGAATAAAAGATCGAAATATTCGACAGTGATTTATGAGGAAATGATGCAGCTGGATGATATGTTGGAATGTTACAAAGATCAATAACAAGATCATGTGGTACCCATGTTGAATCAGATAATTGACTTATAATTTTATTTGATAAAATTCGTTCAAGAGCTTCCCAAGGATCTAAAAAATATTTTTACTTTAAAAAATAAACTTTCTAATAGAACTACGTACTAAGTGTTGCTCATGCAACAGTAACTGTACCTTCTCTTGGTACTTTTTCAATAAGACAATTAAGTAATTTTCTTGTTTCATGTTCATTTATACTTAAAAATATTTGATAACCAATATCACCTTTATAACCATTAGACTAATAAAGACAATTTTTTAGTTATTTTATTCTTTTTTTAAAATAAATATTTAACTACCTGACAAAGTTGTGCTAATTCATCGCAAACTTTAAATCGTGTTGATATATTTGGTGGTAAATGTGTTGGTAATTCTTTATTACTAGTTATTAATTGAAGACATTGAGAAACACAACCCAATAATGTGTTTACATTCAATTCATTTACATTTTGAAATGAATCATCTATTTGACTATTTAAAAAAAAATTGCAAATTTTTAATAGAAAAAAAAAATTATTTTCATTTATATACAATACTTACCAACCAATATCACGTAAACTTTGTATTAAAATTCTATCAATTTCTTCCATTTCAACCAAAAAAGTACGCAAAATTTTATCTATTTAAATGCAACAAAGATAATAAGAATAGTGAGACGATAGTTACATTGTAGCATGTAACAAAAAAAAGAAAAAAAAATTTATTGGACAATGTAAGTATCAATTAAAATTTCGCATTATAATGTCATAGAAGACATACATACAATACGATCTTGACAGTTTTACAAACATACATAGTGCGAAGAATAACCTGATCAAAAGCATTTGTCATATTTCATAAATTAAATCAAATTAACCCTTTTCAGATGAAATAATACGATTGTTGACGGTTAATTTATAATACGTAAACGAACCAAATTCCAGCATAGTTTTATGACAGTTACCCGAATTGAAGAGTAATACATATATCAAAACATTTTAATCAATTTCACTTAATTGCCAATTAATTTTTTTTTCTTTGTATCTAAGAAATAATTAGTTATACTTAATCCACTGAAATCATAAAGTTTTCGATAAAAATAAATTCTTATTAATTATCTGTATTATTAAATCATCGTACAATAAGATATCGTCGGTAATTATATACATTATTCAATGCAGAAGTTAAACATGATTATTTTTTTCTTTTTGTTATGATTTAAAAATAAAAGAGAACAAAAAAACGATTACTTATTTAATTAATAAATTATTCAATTCAATATCGCATATTAATTTAACAACAATCTTTATAGTATTGAAGAAACAAATAAGTATAAACTCTCTTCATTGACTTTGATTATCATCAATGTTTTATCTAGAGGATTGCTCGGGAGACGCCCCGTCCCCCGAAGATCGAGTTTGCTCTCGTCGAAACTTGTGATCATCGCACTACGAACACACGGCTGGCTCTCCCGAAAATAATTTTTCGCCCCCTCGAAATTTCAAATCGTCCCTCCGGAGAAAAAAAAACCTGTATAAAAAACACTGATTATCATTATCATTCATTCTTGTTTTGTTCATTATAATTTACGATTAATAGGAATTATTCATATGTTTTATCATTGATGTATTGTTTTAAAAATCGAATAAACCAAAATCAGTTATATTTGATGAAGTTCATCATGCACGACATGTACGAATTGATCAAGCACAATTTTAATCTTTTTTTGCAGAATCATCTCTAGAAAAAATTCTTATTGTTTTCTATTTTAATCGAAGATCTAAAGATTCTCAAGACTTTTTTCTATACTATTGATAATTACACAATAAATATTCTTGAAAGATTACATTTGCATTAGTCATTATTTATTTGAATTTCTTAATAAAAAAAAAATAAAGAGAAATAAGCTACAAAAGTCTTCATCTGTTCTCTGTGTATAGATTGGAAAAGTTTAATTCAAAAATAAATTTTCTTTTCTTTTCTTAACTGAAAATTTCGTTCTTCTGATGATAGTTTCAGAGAACTATAATAATGACGAGGTGAAAGTTCACGATCTACGATATGTATTGAAAAGTTCCAACAGAGAAATTTTGTTGATATACTCATGCATGGGTTTGTTTTCAAGTAATGGAATTAATCTTGAAGACATTTCTCGTATTCTTTTAGGAACTTTTTCCAAAAATGCTTCGCTATTTTTCTAAATTCAACCTTTTTCTAGATTAAGATCAAACGTCGAACCATTATTTATCTATATCTTATTGCACATTATTTCATCATTAAAATTTTCTTTTCTACAATCTGAAAGTCATTATCAATCGCTTCTCAAGAATTTTTATGTCAAGATCATCGTCTATGTTTTAGTCGCTTCTTTCTTCCGTCTTTCTCTCAATATCTGTCGTTTCATTACATAGATATGATGTCATCTTTCTTGACAAAACATAACGATGTACGTATGTATCCTTACCGTTATCTTGACAATCCATACTTTTCTCAAAGTTTTTTTTTTCCATTGAATGAATTCTAAGCCTATTGCTAACGTTTTTTTTTTTTTACCATGAAAACATCTTAGTTCAACATTGACGAGATTATACCACATATCAAATGGCTTAATCGTGTTTTCAAGTGGACAGAAAACGTCAGATTCACAATAGACATGTGTATGCAGTGTACCTAGATCACATCTAGATCTATACATTTCTATTATTCCAACATGTAGTGAAATTTCCTTCTAACAAAAAGTCCTGAAGGCATCAAAGAACTGTCTTTTCGCAAGAATTCCAGATTTGATTTTAAATTGGTAAAATTTCAAATGTAAAAGAAATAGTATACGAATGAAATTCAACTGATTCTGCTATAAGAAAAATATATCCTTTCTTCTTCTCCTCAATGTCATCCTTCAATTTCTTTCAAAACTACACACAACATTGAATGACTATGATCGAGTTGGATGATGATACATCAATGTTTTACCTTTGTGAATAAGCTGACCTATTCAATTTGACAACGGCGCAAAAGGCACCAAGCGGGCTGAAAAAATAAAACGAATTAAGACTAAATTGACGAATAAATTGTCTAAACAGAATGATTTAACTTGGAATAGATCAATCACGTTGGTTACTCTGTTTTATTTTTTTCAGTCTGTTTGATATCGAAGTGATGAGAGGCAAACAATGAACATATATATGTATATATAGCTTTATCTCAATCAAAAGCATCACAATCATTAAAAAAAAAATGAACCGATCAAATGTTCATCTTTTCGATTTACCTGATGAAATATTACTTATGATTTTGAACAAGTTGAACAATATTGATGTACTTTATTCTTTATTGGATATTAATAATGGACGACTTAACGTTCTTGCACAAGAAAACACTTTCACCAACATTTTGAAGTTTGTCTCCATTGATGATACTTCTCTAATCGATCGATTTTGCATCGATATATTACCAAGAATTCATCGTAATGTCAAATGTTTTATCTTTGATCCCATTTTTATGGAACGTATTCTTCTTGTCACCGACTATCCCAATCTAACTGAACTTGAAATTCATGATTTTCATAAAGAAATTGCTTTAAATTACTTTACAAGTGAGCATTTAATATGAGACAAATAATAAATGAGTGTTACAACGAATAGACTACAGTTTGTTTCATTTCATTGTTTTTTTCGTTTAGATAAATCATCACTTCGATCTATTTTCCAAGAACAAATTACAAATCTTATTCTTATCAATAATGATGAATGCGCAATGACATGTTCATCAAATTATACTGCAAAGATATATGCGCATATTTTGACCTTCTTCAAAAATTTAAAAATTCTACGTATTATAGAACCAAGTATTGTGTCATATCCACCTCTATCACTTTGTTATTTACCATCGACTACTTTTTCATCTCCGATTCTTACTCATTTATATATCAATGTGCAAACTTTTGATGATTGTCTTTGCTTACTTGATGGTCGACTTAAACAATTGACAACATTGTTTGTTACTGTCTGTTGCCCATTCGAGTCTTCACGCATTATTCACAATATGGTAAGTTAATACAAATAATTTGATGAGATAAGAATAGTTACTATTTTAACAGTTTGAATTTTTGTCAAAAGATTTAATAAGAGATCGGATGGTTAAATTTCATGTTGACAAGAGAGGAAACTGATAAGTATTGATGAATGTATTGGAATCATCGACAATAAGTTTTTACCTACTAGAAATTATTTTTTAATAAAGTGATCAAAGAAAATTTCTAGAATTTATAATTAAATAAGATTGTTGAGGATAAGTTTCATATTAAAAACTGGACTATCGGTTTCATCCTTGATTAAATATTTTCTGTTGTGAATAATCATCAGCACTGAATGGAACAAAACTTTTCGAACAATTGAGATATGAATGCGATTTTATCTGTTACATTTCTATTGTTATTTCAACACCTCGCTTTTCATCCTCTAAAATTAGAATATCCAACTGAAAAATTTGTCATTTGCGATCATTAACAGATAGAATATAGCACAGACACTCAGTGTAAATAACGATGGATATGACTTAATAATGTTGATCATCAATAAAAAAATTTTTTTTTCTTCTGTAGAATAAACTATCTAATCTTAAGTGTTTCTCGTTAAAAATGTTCTATGAATTTCAACCTTATGATAGAATTGCATCACTTTTGCGTCGTATGTCAAATCTGGAAAAATTAACTTTAAACATTTCTATAAAAGATCGAAATAGTGTCATTGATGGTACTTATATTCAACATGATATTTTTGATTGTATGCCACAACTTCATTGATTCACTTTCTATATTTGTACTTATGTTGAAACGGTTGATTTATCCTACAAGTTATTTGGTGAAGATATTCAACAAACATTAATGAATATTGGATTACAAGATGTTACTAGTATTGTCAATTATGTTTGTGATTCAAGAGCTGCATGTTCGATTTTCTCACTTCCTTTTCAATTTGATTATCTCAAAGATCTTGGCAATAAATTTCCAAATATTGTATTCAGTTATGTTACGTATTTACATGTGAAAGATAATGATCCATTCAGACATGAATTCTTTGTTCGAATTGTCCAATCGTTTCCATTACTGAAATATTTACAAATTTATAATGTACGATCATCGTTACCAGTTGATGCTATGACATTTTCATCGGACAATTGTCAATTATACTCAACTATTGAATATCCGCATCTAACTACACTTGATCTGAGTTGTGCACATAGAGAATATGTTGAACAATTTCTAAATGAAACAAAGACATATATGCCTTGTCTGACCGAATTACTCGTCGTGCTAAGTGACTTGATAATTGTAACAAAGAACTTTACAAGAAACGAAACACGACGCAATTGTGCCAAAGTGAAAACATTATTTAACCTACCACCAAGGTTACATGTAGAAGGTTTATGTGATTACTTTCCTTCGTTATATAAGTAGATGTATTCTTGTTATGATGAATTGAATAAACTGAAACATGATAAATATTGTATTTATAGGTTAATGATATTTTTCAAATGCTAAGAAATATCAACTATTAATGATTGATTCTCATTTTAGAAAAAAAATCACACTACATCACATGATGCTAAAGAGTTATATGTAGAATGAAAAATATTCTTTTCGCAATTAGGGATGGTACTTTCACTTTCTTTTCTTGCATCTGACATTACTAAAGAACGTATTGATAATGATAATTGATTTTTGATTAGTTGGAAAAAAAGAAGAAATTGAACAATAAGAAGATTGTTTACATAACCATTGATTAAATGTTTGTTCAGATTTAATATTCAATAAATGATAATGCCATATCTCATTAAGAATATTTTCTCAATATTTTCCTGCTTGTTTAAGATAGTTAAAAATATTGAAAGAGAAGGTAGAAAGATTTGACACTAAACTAGCTGTTAAATATAATAATTTATTGCAATTTTTCTTTTGACTTTTGTTCAGTTCAAATTGTGCTCGACCAAGTGCAGCTCGAATAAATGGAACTGAATATTGACAAGACATTGAAAATTGTTTTTGTTTATCAAACTTTGCTAAATTACGAAATATACAAACATATCATTCGTCAGATATATATTCATGATGAGGATGTGAAAGTTGATCAACAATTCTTCAAATTTCAATACAAACTAAATAAATAAGTTTTTCTAGAATATTCAGACTTTGTAGAATCATTCTATGTACGGAAGGAAGTTCGATCATTTTTACTCTCAGAATACTGTCTCAAACGATGTTTTATCACATTAAGCCTCAGTACAATCTTTCATTCCTTTACTTGCTAAGACACAATCACTATTCTCCTCCACTGTGTAAACTCGTATAATTGAAATGTCAGAGATAGCAGTGTTCATCGCTTTTCTGAACTACGATCTTCGAAGAGTGCGATGCATTTCGTATGACCTATCGTCTCTGCATATGTCGCACTCTGTATGAAGGAAGAAAAAAGAGAAAATTTGCGGTACTGACTTTTGCAGTGGACTTTCAGCATTTATTGAAAGTCATCTGCGCAACTCATGTTATTCCAAGGAATGAGTAGAAACATGTTTTGTTATTCATATGATCAGTTGAAAAGTTTTCTCGCAATGAATCTGTACCATAAAAAGTGCCTTGGTGTGACACCCAGCTTCGACAAGGTCCGTCCACAGTCCCTCGAATAGTAATTAATAGTGCTTTGAGGCAATCCTGTTCGATCTCGAGTTTTAGCTGAAATGTTTTAGAAAATCGGGATTTTCTTATTAAGAGGAAGAATGCTTGGAAAATAGAACCACTACAAAGTCAAAAAGTATTTTATTCCTTCTAAACAATGAGTTTCTCAGAGAAGAAATCTTTCGAAAACTTACTTTTATTTAAACTATTAGTCGTTGTTAATCGTTTTGTTTTTGCAAATGAACTACTCAAAGCAAGTTTGTTCATTTTCGATAATTGTTTATCTTCAGAATGTGATCTTAAATTAATTCCTCGACATCAGTCTTCATAAAGTTCTGGTTGATATTTATATACAAATGAATCCCTACTAATTTTAACCATATCATCTCGACATGTACATTTTGTTCAATGTTTACCATATTCAATCCAATGTTCCAAAGCGAAATTTGTTGATTCAGCACAACTAAAACCATAATTAATTGATGAGAAAACAGCATCGCCGAAGACTTCCATTATAAGAAAACCAGCTGTACGACGATCAAGATTAGCGGTATCCATCACGAATATAGTTGGAAACATAATTGATTCAAAGAAAAATAATGCAATAAGAACAATAACATCAGGACGACCATAATCAACAGAGGTGTAAGCTGTAAAAGCAATACTAATTACAGAATAAACGATGAATTAAATCAGCTTGGAAGAAATGAGTCAGTGCAGTGCTAACAAAACGACCAACAGTGAATACAATAAGAGCATATGATAAAAGATTTGATGCTTCAAGATCCGTAAAATCAGCATTTTCAGTTGCATAGTTGATAAAGAAAGAGCTAACTATGACCTAAATAAGGATATTTTTCATAACATAAATACAGTTTCGATGACTATATCCCAAGTGAATGAATGACTCGGCTATATTAACACATGTATCTAAGCATTCACCGAACCATTGGATCTTTCTAGTTTATTGACAAAAGAAGGTGGAAGCTGACACAAGAGATTTAAGGATTAGCTGCAATAGATCTACGTATTGTGGATCAATACATGAACCAAAAGCTGAAAGACTTCAGATGTTCTAGAAAAGTCATCGATGTTTAAAAATATTCGAACTCAAACCTGTCGGTTCTTCCATGATAATCTACATATCTTAAGAAACGTTTGCGATGCTTCCCGACCATGAACCGTTTAGTTCGATGAATGCCTACATATGTCTTTTATTAACTGAACACCAACATAGCAACACTGTGCTACGAATGTAAAATTCATACTCTATTGATTCCACAATGATTTGACTTCATCCGCGCCACTAGAAGAATCTTCATCATCTGCGATGACCTCAGGTAGCTTGGAGAAGATGAATAAAACAGCGACTAATGCTACAGTGCCGGCAACGGATATGTAAATATATTTGATGTTTTCAAGATTACTAGAATGTTCTTCTGAGAAGGAGAATTTAGACGCAATAAGTGGACCGATAAATGATACAACATCATTCCACGACTGACAAAATTGTAAACACATGGAAGCCGATTTTGGATCACCAGTAATTGGAGAAGGTTGCAACTCGTCACGTGACGAGTTTTTTTTTCCAAAAAAAGTAGGGGTTTTGTAACACCAAAAACAGGAATATTCGAGAAAACAGGGATATCGTAACAGTTGCAGGGTTTTCGCAACGAAACAAGAGGGATTTAGTAATAACGTATGTACTAGTTAGACTTCATTTACATATAGGAATTACATGGATTTCGTAACAAATTGTACACGGTTATCATAACAGCAAAAATAGGATTTTTCACGATATATTTCAAAGGACGTGCGAGTGTCAAATCAGGGCTGTCGTAACGAATTTTGCACGGAAGACATAACCGTCCATACAGAGTTCTCGTACCAGAAAAGCATACTATGTTTGAATTAGCTGTGTAGGGTTATCGTAATGAAAGTTTAGGATTGTCGTAACCAATCCTCTTTTTTCTTTATAAAAAGGTAAGACTCGTTGAACACAGTGAAGTATTTAACTTACTTTACTTAAGAAAGCAATGGTAGAAAACGAATAACATAGAAGATAATCCTTATTGACTAGTGCACAGGTATTGAGACATGTATTGAATAAGTTATTGAAATAGGAGAAAATGAATACTAATTAACATGTTCTTCAAAAATATATGGGCAATTTCATTTGTTAGGGACGTGACTTGGCAAAATTAAAATGCTTATATCTCTGGATAACGAACTCCTATAGAGCTGAATTTTTTTTTATGCCATAGACATATTGAGTTACTCTAGCTAGCCTGAAAAATTGAGCCGTATAGCCCTTGGTTTAGAAAAGTTATCACCAAAAAATAGCGTTAGAGGCGTGACCAAAAAAAAGACATCGATTTTCGCTGCATGCATTTCACTTTAAAAAATCTGCAGATTGAGAGAGCATGTTTAGAAACGAAATAGTTTACTCTATAGAAGACACTTGAGGCTACAAAATCTGTATTCAAAGTTTTTTCTGATCATGTTCAGATTTTCCAAAAAGTTCAGTTTACTTTTCGTTACGGACGTAACAGAGTACGAATCGACTATTTTTGATGCTTTCATATCTATGCAAACGTTCAATCATTTACTGTGAAACTTAGGATTCCTATTCTTCCAAGTGTGCTCTCTAGTAAATCATATAAAAAAATTATATTATTTTCTATTAAGGTTTCTAGAAAACGAGATTAAAAAGGAAGGGGTTTTAACAGAGTTTTTTAAGAAAAAGCAGGCAAATTTACGTCATGTAGGAACAACTCCACTAAAACTGGTTTTCTAGTTTTTGCAACTATGGAAACGAAAAAATAACATACTTTTTTTTTATAAACTGAAGACAATAGTTGGTAACTACGCCAAACTTTCGAAGCGTAGTTTCGAATTTTCGAAAAAATGAATTTGTCCCATTTTTCGTGAAATTGCCCATATACACATTTATCTATATGAACACAAAAAAGCACAAATAGTATCATCTAATCTATTGCAGTCATTTCACAAAAAAATTTATACAAATATTATTTCTGCGAAAAAGCCTGATTTGTTTGGTCACGATAGTTCTGATTTTTTGTTACGAGAGTCCTGTAGCTACAAACTATCAATACGCTACTTCTACAGTGCGATGGCCTTGTAATAACAGTTACGATAGCCCTGTACTTTTCGTTACAACAGTCCTGTATTGTCAGTCGTATTCTTCAGTAAAATATATTACGATAGCCCTGTATAATGAGTTACGATAATCCTGTAAAATTCATTACGAAATGCCTGTAATTGATGACGTGATGTCCTGAAATGGTACATATCAAACCACAGGTTACGGTCACCCTGTAAAACTCGTTACGATACCTCTGATTTTTTGTTACGAAAGTCCTGATTCTGTCGTTACGAAACCTCTGTTACGGGCTTTCGTACTGCCAATTTTTTACAAAAGTTAGAAGAAAAAAACGTGACGAGTTGCAACATTCCCAATAATTGTAGTGTATGAATTGGCGGATGTTTCTAATGAAGCAACACCACAAGCAATGACAAAAGTACAAACAATAAAACCATCAAAAACTTGTTTAGCATTATTTGGTTTAGAATGATGAGTAGTTGGCCAGAAAAAGAATTACACCCAAGGCTAGAGAGCTAAACTTATGGCGATGGTAACCTTGTAACCTTTAAGTTTGAATAATTCAGCAGCGATCGATGAGAAACAAAGATAACTACCATCAAAATAGATAATTTGTGGTGTAGTCGCTGCAAGTTTTATAATTTTAAGAACATTTTGAGAAAGTGTTTGTTTAAGATATCCAGAAGACTGTATGAAAAACTCTAGAGGAAGAACAATGAAGTGACTAGAAACAGTGAAAATATAAGTTGACGATCTTTATGATACGACCGATTCGATGAAGAATTTGGAAGGACTGTACCACCAGCCATTTTAGCTGATTATATAATTGTCTAAAGATGAAAATTAGAATAATCAAATGTCTCTCTGAGCATGTACAACCACCAGTAGATCAAAATACACTTTATACGAGATACTTTGCTGATATAAAATTGTTTACAATGTATATCTATATATCTATATGACGGTTGTATAAGCTAAATTACCATCACGCAAGATCATGTATATGGATGAATTGCAACTTTATTGTACCGTTTTGAGAAAAAAATCGATGAAAAAAAAATTTCCGATTTTAGAGATTGGGAGTAGTGCATCTTACTACACTATATGAGAGATGGATATGAATAAATTTTCCCGACTACCACTGTTAAATTGAGTATAGATCGTGTATACGCATCTTTCACAGCAAATTTATTAACTCGTGAGGAATGTGTTACAATTAGTTCGCGTGAGTAGTGATAGTCACTTAAACATGAAAGCGACTAATATGCCCTTTATTCACCTTAATCTCAGTTACTGGATAGTTATCCACATAAAAATCTCATCTGGCACTTTTTTGAAAAAATCTCGTGTGACAGTTTGCCAATAATCTCGTGTGACATTTTTACACTATTTTTCTCTCTATTATGCGAAAGGAGCATTTTCTAACCGTGATATTTTCAGCAATATCTGGCCACAACTAACAAATAAAATGATAAAAATTTCAGCTCAATATGCCTTAATTTACAAGAGTTAATACGACACACAAAGTATGAAATCTCGTGTGACATTTAGTGTGACAACTATATTTTCAAATTTTATTTAATGCCCCTTTCTTAATAAGAATAAGTAAAACTTTCGAATCATCTTTGGTAGTTTTATTCCCCACTGATAAGCTTTCATTCAAAACCTATCCGACAAATTTTGAATGCTTTGTTATATAGCAAAGGCGTTTTTAAATCTCGTGTGACACCATATTGACCATTGACGGTACACCTGATATTCGGAAAAAAATATAACATAAACTGCGATGAAAGAACTAGCCAGTCTCATATCCATGATGTATACACTGTCCACTGTAAATGTCAAAAACTGTCAAAATTCAAATGACAAGAAACCAATTAGTGATGGGTCATTTTCTGACCATAGATGGCAGTAGAAATCAGCCATTTTAACCTTGTGTATGTGGTATCTCTGGATAGGCTAATGATAAATTCGTGATTTTTTGTGTAATAGTGAGCATCAACTACGGCAGCATACTCCGAAATTTTCATAGAGATTGGCCAAGAGGAACTGAAGTTATTAAAGTTTTACATATGGAACTACGAACGGTACAATAAAGTTGCAATTCATCCATATTCACTTATCGTATTCAAGGGATCCATATGCCTAAAAAATTGAGGGTTTTCAATGAATTTGGTGTAATAAGATGGATATCCAACTCGATATCCATTTATCTATAAAGTTGTTGATATTCTTGGAGCGGTGTGGGATACATCTTATCTTCATGTCCTATCCACTCCTTCACCCTCATATAAAGGCGCACCGTACAGTCAGACTCACAGCTGCAACAACATTCATGCCACGTCAGGATGCGCGCACACACAGACCTTCATCAAAACAAATAGCTTCATGGTGGCTGCCACCTGCATCTGCAAACCAAGTTTCGGCACCCAAACTCTCACGTAGACAATGACCTACACTCGCGTTCGAAAGTCAAAACCACACACCTTCAGTCACACCCATATCAATATCATCACTCGCATGAACACACTCACCTACATCCGCACTGTCATCCACACCCTCAACTAAAGAAAAAATCTCACACCTATCAAAACTGGCTCCTTAGGACCCTAAAGCAGCAAATATAGGAAAAAGCTGAGTGTCTTCTTTCTCATCCATCACTCTCACACTAACAACATCCATCATCAGTGTGCTCTCGAATCCATCACAACATCGGGCAAATTCTCATAAAGTAAAAGGTTAAACGAGTAATGACATAGATAGAATCTACTTAATCTTCGATCTTAAAAAGTCTAATTTATACGCACTGATAGAGTCTATACCTAACTGATGGTGACGGCCGACCAGAAGCCAAAATATTTCTTATGAAGCTTTGAAACTTTCTGCCATAAAAACTTACTCCCATCTTCACTCTCACTGTCACCTATTTTATTATGGTGCATTTTATCATATTTGCTTGCAAAGTCAATCAAGAAAGATTTGGCAACTGCCTTTTTCTTCATTCTTTT